TTGAGCTCTTGCTAATTTTATGCTTTAGTACCCGAAGAAATGCCTTAATATAAAACAGTGGTCAAATTTTCCTGTTTTTCCTCGACGCCACTGATGTTCAGCCACCGCCTTCTATCAGTTTTAAAATAGTGTATGTTTGGGTGTTAGATCGTCATGTGATCCCTTTGTGGGACAATACTGGGCTTAGTTATATACCTGTTAGGGCTTGACATGACGTCTATTGATCAGATATGCCCTCTTTGACCGCCCGTCTAGCCCAAGTAAGGACCAAAGTGGTATGTTTCCAGCAATATAACCACTTATACACTCAAGCCATAGACAGTTCAGTTTCTAGATAAAGTCACCTCCCTTATGACATCGTTTTCTTTTCATTTAACTAAACAACATCCAATACAAGACTCAGTCAAAGTTGTATCGCTGAATATTTGGGGGTGATATAAATGGGGAGAAGGTTGTGAGATCATAAGACTTAGGAGGATATATAATGATTGGCCTTAGATTTGAACAGTTTCAGGTCCTCAGGCATTACATGTCGCCCCACACGGGAAACAGGTGGTTTTATTGTAGAGGTGCTGCCGGCATGTTCTACAGTTAGAGCGATTGCACACGCGAGGTTTATAAATTATTTATTTTTTATCTCTTTGCATGTATATCTTAACATATATATTTTTTTTGCTTTCCTTTCTATCACATATTAAACTTTTTGCAAATCCTATACTCAAAATGTTTTCCCAGTCATTACATTCAGCATTTTCTTCTATATTGTTGCAGTTCTCTTTTTGAAAAAAATATGAAAACAAAAATTATTTCTAACAGAGCACATGCGAAAAGCGCGTCTATTCTAGCGTAATGCCTGCTTCGTCTGGTAGACTAAGTCGCTAATGTAATGAGTGTAATTATCAGTGGCAGTTGCAATGTACTGTTCTTCTATGCCAGTAAATACAAATCTTCTTAAGACGTGTCTATCACAAAGCGATGAACATGAGTCTCGTTTTACGCGCGAAATCACCGCTTTAATGTGTTCGGTTGGGGCTTTTCAATCATTTAGCAGTAAACAAGCTAGACTTGTTAAATAAAACAAGACGATAAAACAAGTAAAGTATTTTTAAAGCATGTACGATCACCTCTCTCCACGACGCCCTTTTTTAGTTCTTCAAAGCAGACTCTAAAGGTAGTTTAGTCCAATAAAACAGGACTAAAATATTAAACTAATAACACCAGTCATGTTCATAAATAACTTCTTCACGCCTGGAAAAGTATAGTGATTTTCCAAGCGTATCTTGGATGTGGCACAAGGCCAAAAGTAAGGGGCACCCATTGAGGATCGAACTCACTTCTCAGTCGTAATTGTTCTAGCGAGATAAGCTTGGTAACCATTACACGATATTTATTTCTGTGAAAATTACAGAAAATGTGGCACAAGGCCTAAAAAAAGGATGGGGAAAAGGACGGTCTTCATCTGTCTTAATTTTAAACTTAGCTAGACACAAGCACTGACCCAAGCATACGGACAATATTCCTAACACCAAAACGACACATTCTTACTAACCTTTCTTTCTCCATCCACCATAATACCTCATTGTCTCAGTGAAAATCCTAAATAAACCCATGTGTAAAAATCGTCGTATGTGGGGGGAATAAAACAACAACAAAAATTAAAAACCCCAATGAGTATATACAATATGAATATAAACTATTTACAATAAACTAAACAAAATCATGTTAGTAGTAACCCCCCAGTCCTTAAATATGACAGAAACATCAGTTAACTGGACGAAATCAATGCGGGACTATAGAAAATATAAAAAAAAAACATTCATTCATCCCTAGCACTCACACAGACACGCACTCATCCAAACACTCCAACAAAAGCGAAAAACACACAAGTGAAAAAAAAAAAAAAAAAACGAAAATCGCCTCGCATCCACCAGAGAACTGACATCACTGACCACCTAACGGGAGACGGGATGTGGAACTAAACTAAAGAAAAATAGGACAGAAATAAAAGGGGCCAATGAGCAAGCACACCCTAGCTAAGTTTACTGGGGAAAAAAAGAAAAACTAAAGAATTAATTATCATTACACCACCTCGAGGAACCCCTGGGCACAGGTATATATGTCATGCCTGGCGCCCAACACGTTCAGAACTGCCTACGCTGTCGACTGTTTTCTCAGATCAGTGATTGGTTTCAAGTAAATGAATCCTGTAGGTCTTTAAAAAGTCCAATAAGTAACAATGATATTGCGAGGAGGGAGTTTTGCCCAACACTGCGAGATTCTACAACACTAAAATGTTAGCCTAATCAACAGAGTCCAGTTCTTAAATAACCTCGTCAGATGTAGCTTCTCATGTATGTTATATCTGACATCCAACTCCTTCAGAAATATTTAAAGTGTCAGCCGTATGCAACCGTTTACTCACATCAATTATTAAACATGGCTTTGAGCGAGTGAACCCTGGAGGTCCTGGATATGACCATTCTCCATCAGACCTCATAGACAGGCGCTAAATAATCACAAAGAACCTTGACAAATGAGAGGAATTACATGTCTTGAAAAAATATAGATATTTGTAATGTGACAGAGAAATCCTGAGAGAAAAATGGAAAAAATGCTTTCCAGAAAATAAGCATAAGCTTTATAAACGGGGGCATTTTATTGCGTACCAAGGTAAGAGTGTTAAGCTATTTTGTAATATAAATCATCCTATATGATAGTGAATGCTGAAAAACATCCTCACAGGTGAGGACGAGACTTCATACAAGAGATATGTTGTTCTTCAGAAGAATATTGTGAATATCATGGACGGAAAATGCGAACAATTAGTAAGTTTTAAAACGAATCGGAATGAAAAGGTAACTTTTTGTGAAATAATCGTAACATAGATGCTTGGAGAATCAGACACTCATAAGGCACATTGAAAGAAAATGTTCAACAGGGAAACAATGAGCAACATACCTGACTAGCCTGTGTAAATGATTGACAGAACATGAATAGGGAGGTGGAGAAAATTGTTCAATATTTCTAAGCACTGTACTTGTGTAGAGTATGATCGCTTAGGTTTTGAATTCTTCAAGTTTCTAGTAATTTTTAGACAAAATTCTTTTATTAAAATTAGGTTTTTTTTTCTTAGTATCCATCCTTAAAAAAATCATCTCGACCTTTTATAGCCAAGGACCATGTTATAAATTAGGAATTCAATTAAGTCTTCGCGGTAGCTTTTTCAATATTTCCAACTAGTTGGAATCGTTGACCATACAAGGAATTGTCACATGAAGCGAAACAAGTGAAAAACCCGGAACGTGACAGGCTTGCAGAATAAGTTTCACATAGAAGAATTGTTTCAATCACTAACCAGGAAGTACGTGTGTTTATGGGATGGTGGAGGTCGAAGTCATACAGCTAAATCATTGGTCGATTTCTTTGTCTAGAAAAAAAATTCTTTCTGATCCAATGACTGATTCAAACGTGCCAATATTATATGGAAAATTGTTGGAAGAACATAAAAATCTATAAACCTATTTGCACACACACACATACACCCACGCCCGTGCACTCAGGTGCGCATAGGCAAACACACAACAGATGTTGCGCAGTTTGTTCTGGTTCCAGTAATGCTTAATAAAAAAAAATATCCGTTTTATTTTCCACCTGTCAAAATGGAAATCTTTTTTTCCCTCAACAGTAGATCCTGTTTTGTTTAAAAAAGAAATCAAAGAAATGATCACAGAACTTCTATTTAATATCTACTCTCCTATATGGCATTGAAAACATGACGGTCTTAAAGAAGCTACTGAAGGAACATAGATGTGGTCCTATCGAGGAATGCTAAGTGTATCGCGGACGGAACGTATGAGTAACGAGAAAGTTTTACGGAGGAAGAATTATGGTAATCGTATACTTGCAATCAGAAGAAGATAGCTCCCATCTCTCGGACACGTTATGCGGAAAGAATATCTGGAAAGCCTAAAACTCACAAGGAATACTGAGGCGAGACAAGCAGACGGAACGTCAAAAAAAAAAAAAAACTACCCAAAGGCTTTGCGTGGGTGGATTGTGAGAACGGAGAATTATGGTAAAAGACGAAAAAATAGTTTAAAGCAAAAACATTAGTTCCATTTCATCCATCATCTCATATGGTATATCAAAATTATCAATCATGACGAAGCGACTGAAAATCATAAGATTTATCTGGCGTTGAATGCTAAGAATACCATAGACAAAGAAGTCTTACGGTGTAAGAATTTTGGTAACTGTATAAGAAGAAGATAGGTGACATCGCTTGGACATATAATGCGGAAATAATACCTGCATAACCTTTCACAGGGTATATTGAGGCGAAAGAAAAAAAACGCGAAAAAAACAAAAAACTAATGACTGAATTAGAAGAGGTATAATGCTGGTAAAAGGTGAAACATAGTTTGGAGTAAAAAAAACAGGAAGTTGTGGAGAGCCATGACCGTAAGTATTCTGAAAGGACACAGATGTGGTTCTACCGACGAATGCTAAATTATACCACGGACAGAGCATATGTGCAATGAGGAAATTTGACGGTAAAGAATAATTATAGTAAACGTATACTTACAATCAGAAGGAGATAGTTGACATCTCCCGGATATATAATGTAGAAAAATGCACGAAAAACGTAAAACTCACAGGGTATATTAAGGTGAGGCGGTCAGAGGGAAACTGTGCATAAACAACCTAAAGAATTTCTGTGAATGGATGGCAGAACAGGCAGAATGATGTTATTAGGTTGGTGCAAAAATAATGCATACGTAATAATGTCGTTTTTTGACGCATTTTTGGGTCAAAACGATATTCTTACGTCATTATTTTTGCACCAACCTAATAATAGGTGAAAAAATCGCTTAGAGTAAAAACAAAAAACAGAAAAAATTATGGAGAGCCCTGACATCCCATGACATGAATGAATATTTCAAATAAAATAATGCAAGATTCCGTTTTGATGTTGAAGTGTAACCCAGATCTTCTTCCTAATGGATACTCAAAAGAATCGCCAATTTCTCTCTTTTTCACAAATGATCTTTGACTGTACGTTGTTAGAAGGGACATGTCCGTTGTGGCGTAATCGGCTCGGTGAGCGCTGAATTCGATTTCATGGCGGATTCGTTATATTCACTTGGGTATGTTATGAATCCACCTCTTTCTTCACCCAGCTATGGGTTGAATATCAGGTCAGAATGGATCTTATAACCTTTGTTAGCAACCGGTCTACCGCAGGAAGAGACGGAACATACTGTACGGTGGGAAAATCTATGCCTAGTCAGTCCTAAATCGAAAAAGATATGATTGTCCAAGCGTATATCACGTATGCCACTCAACTCACCGACTGCCTGAGTCAGAAGAAGATGGACGAATTAAAAAAAAAAAAAACTGGGCATAGCTTGTTTTCATACTTTTATATGTAACCTACTTAAATGGCAACGATTTCCATCAGAGGAAAAAATAGAAAAAAAAGAAATTATGGAGAGACATGTTTGTCAATCGCCCTGAAGGGATATTGCATACAAAATAAGATGGCTGAACAATTATTTCTTCTTGTGTCAATATTTTTTGAAAGAAGCTTATTTGGCAAGCGTTCAAGGTGTCAAACTAAATCGTTTTGAGTGCGTTAACGTTCGGAAGGTAAAGAGAAAAACCTTAAAGACGAATGCAATTCCGAATTATTTTTTTAATTTTATTTTCCATTTTTCTTCTTCTTTTTTTTCATTCTTCCACCTCACTGCGTTTTCAATTTAACGAATCCTGAAAGGAAGAAAATAGGTAGCCTTGATCATTAAGTGAGTGTGTGGAAAATGTAATCCATGTATTTGGCTGAAATTAAAGCCACGAAACCGAATCGGCTAAACAGTTCTGAGATGATCGACAGGTACCTAAGGAAAACAGAATGGTACAACAGCCGAAACATTAAGAACGATGAGGACATAGTCCGAATTGAAATGGTGGAGTTAATGATATTCTTCCTTATAGAAACACTTAGGGAATTAATTTTTCATTGTTGGTTACTATGTCTTTTTCAAATGATTGTTTACTGTGTTTATCAATAGAAAGGCTGTACTAACAATGCTGATCAATGTTCGATTTAGTATCTTTATGTGTTACATACATTTAAAAAAAAAAAAACCTCTGAAATTAGTTTAGGGGTTGTGACACATGGCTACCTGCACCTGAAATAAAATCTGAGTAAAATTTAAAGATAATATTGTAGAATTAACACACACGGGCGCGCACGCTCGGTATCACATACATAAATATATATATATATATATATATATATATATATATATATATATATATATATATATATATATATATATATTTGTTTTATTGTATGAATGATTCGTGAATTTATAAATTATAATTGCACCTATATTGAAATTAAAATAACTGATCCAACGTGCAACTTTCGGACAATAAGTGTGACATTACTGTGATTATTGAACAATATAGTCCATGACACATTGACGGAAAACTTTCCAGTAAAAAGGATTCTCTTATTCCTATATTTGTGCAAAACGCCTTTGTACTTAAAATTTAAAATTCAAACTCAGCGTTGCGACCCCACGTTCAAAACAATAACACATTTCTCATAGCATTTTTTCGGAT